TAGTCTACTAATATGTAGAAAATACATATAATTTTTTTCCTCCCCGACGAATTGTGCTTTTTCTCCCGTGGGGGGGGGGGGACAGCTCTCCCCGACGGGGTCCCCTCCCCTCTTCGCTGGCGCCACCCCTGCGAAAATATTACGCCCATTGTAGTGTATAATCGAGATGGCGCGCCTTTATAAACTAAAAATGACAACACAAGACACGAAGTTAAGGCAAATGCGTAGCAAATGTTATTTGAGTTATCACTGAATTTAGATCCACAGTCAAAAATGAAATAATTACAAAATAGAGACACCATAACAGACTGTGGAAACAATGCATCCCGAGAGAATGAAGAGTCAAAGGAAGCTGTGACGTAAGAAAGAGGACTGGGTCTCTTGGCTTTATCAAGTGAAAGCTCATATGTGTTTCGCCACTGCTCCCAGTCACTCTACTCTGAAATCAAACGTTACATCGTAAGCCTAACCACATAATACATAACTGGCATCTTTATCAATTATTGATCTTCAACACTCAATCAATTCGAGCAACAAAACAGTTAAAAAATCAACTAACCAATTGATAGTTATCTTTGATGACGACTCTCCGTGAGTCATTTTCTTAATTTCTGCCTGCATTCATTCATTTATAGATATTGAGTAAAACATTTATAAATTTCCATCTTCCTAGCCTAATTTACAGAGATACACGGCCGTTGTTCCTATTAGAATAATGTGTATGCGATACTATGACTCTTTTCTGTTAAAAAGTATTCGCCGGGCGCCCTTAAAACATCAAGATCTTAACTTTTTATACGTACGTAATCTTATAAAGTACAACTTACGTATAGTTGACATAAGTTTTGTGAGTTTTGATTGAGACCTAGTCAAAATATTACAAGATAAAGATGAATTGTCCGATGAAGAAAATTTTTCCTTTCAGTGAATGGTTAAAAGTCAACTCCTATTGATTTTTAAAGTTATCTACTTAAGCGTGGAAATCGTGATGAAAAAAAAAAGTTTACCTTGAATGCTTAAAAACTATGAACACAAATTTATTAAATACTCACATTGATTTTAGAAGTAAAATAAATGCATATAAATAATGCACAAGATTTCCTCAAGTTACGTATAACTATCTAACACAATATTCCTAGTGTAATAATACAGGTTTCCCTCTAATAAAGACCCCTTCAATTAAACACCATCTTCAATTAAAAACAACTTCTCTGTGATCCCAAATAACAAATGTCTTTTTATCTTTATTAGTTCTAATTACAGACCAAAGCTGCTCAAGGCGATGGAAACCCCGTTCCCAAAAGTGGTCTTTAGTTGGAGTTAGACGTGTATTATGAAATGATAGTAAAACCTTATTCGATAAAACGGAATATTAACGATACATTAGTAGAAGAAATTATGATAATACTAATAATGAGTACATTTCGTTCGATTTCATATTTTAAAGTGAAGATTTCTTTAAAGTTAAAGTTCAAAACAATAAAATGAGCAACTCCACTTGAGTTTGCGTTTGCGATTGGTTAAACTTAAACAACAAGAATTCACACCTTTAACAATCCAATTTTCATTGCCTAGAGAAGCTACTTCTCCGTGTTTTCAGTGGATTTTTGTTCCACACCATTAGACAACACATCTTTAAACCCCGAATCACTATTGATAGTAAATATCTAATAAGTTAAAACCTGCCATATGAATTGAGATAGGTACCGGTACCTTAAATATCTTGACATTTTAATTTACTTTTTTGATTTGATCAAGGAGGAAATATATTATTTGACATGATTATTCTTCCGACATGCCGTATAGCGAGATAGATTCAAGTTTTAGGTAAGGGTTAAGCCAGCTCCACCACCAATCAACACCTTGGAGGATGCAGTTCTTTGTAAATACTCTTCATTCAGATACTTACATAAAACTAGCACTTTATGTAGTCTTTCAACTCTAAACTATGTGGTGGCCAGCACCTGTTATTACAGGAAAAAAGATAACGTCGTAAAGTAAACAATTGCATACACGTGTGATTAAATACTCATGAATTGAGCGTGAATAGAAAATGTAAATTTTTTACTGTATATATAATGATATCAATTGAATAATGTTTTTGCCTTTAAATAATTGATACCATTAATTGTTTGAACTCAAACGTATGATAAATTTATATTTCTAACAACAACAATAATAATAATAATAATAATAATAATAATAATAATAATAATAATATAAATGTATATAACGACATACCTAATTAATATATACATGTATAAGAATATAATATAGAATAATTCATAAATTATAGTGTTTTATGACATTGTGCCAAATATAATTAATTTAATGAAAAATACAGTGATAATACTTATAATATACATAGTATAATTTATTTATTTATTCTGTCTTTAGAATGATAACTTTCAGTGACGCAGCACTGATTTAACTAGTGGATCACACAAAATAAAAAAATGAATATTAGAAATATAAATTAAATTAACAGTAAAATATATTTATATATAAACTTATATATGTATGTAAACGAAGTGCGTACACGCACACACACACACACACACAC